CAGGTAGTCAACCTTGGCTTCCCAGCATCAAACAACGAAGCGGAGTATGAAGCACTTCTGGTAGGACTAAAATCAGCACTCTACATAAAGGCCACCGAGCTAATGGTTTATAGTGACTCACAGCTGGTGGTTAACCAAATTTCAGGTGACTACGAAGCAAAGGATGAAAGAATGGCTAAGTACTAAGAGTTAGTCAGAAAAGAGATCATGAAGTTTGAAGTAGTGCGAATAGAGCAGATTGGCAGAGAAGAAAACAGCAGAACAGACAAACTAGCAGGCTTTGCTTCAATGGCAGATATATCCATCCCACATCCACTACTGATCGACTTCCTACCCAGACCAAGCATTGAAGAACCTGAAGTAGAAGAAGTATGTTGCGCCGAACTAGGCCCTTCATAGATGGATCCCATCATAGTGTTCCTAAAAAACGGCATTTTACCCGAAGAGAAGAAGGAGGCCAACAAGATAAGAGCAAGGTCACAGCGATTTTGGCTCTCCCCATCAATGGCCTTGTGCAAGAAATCCTTCACAAGACCTTACCTGAAGTGTGTCCATCCCAGCAAGGTCAAAGCATTCCTGTTCGAGATTCACGAAGGCGTATGCGAAAGCCACTAAGGGGGGAGATCACTGGCCTACAGAGCAATTTCGCAGGGATATTGGTGGCCTTACATGCAAGCAGATTCGGAGAAATATGTCAAGAAGTGCGAGAAATGTCAGAAGTTCACACATCAAATACATCAGCCAGCCAGAGAGCTTCTACCTTTAACTAGTACGAGAAATGTCAGAAGTTCGCACACCAAATACATCAGCTAGCCAGAGAGCTTCTACCTTTAACTAGCCCATGGCCCTTCGCAATGTGGGGCTTGGACATAGTAGGGCTTGGACATAGTAGGACCACTTCCAACAGCACCCAGCAACAGAAAGTTCTTCCTTGCAGCAACAAACTACTTCACAAAGTGGGTGGAAGCAGAAGCACTAGCATCAATAAAGGAGAAAGATGTGAAGAAGTTCGTCTGGTAGAATATAATCACTCGGTTCGGCATACCTAAGGCGTTAATATCAGACAACGGCACCTAGTTTGACAGTAAAATTTTTAGAGGCTTTTGTGAGGAGTACAAGATAGAATTTTACAACTCTACACCGGCATACCCCCAAGAAATGACCAGGTAGAAGCATTAAACAAAGTTGTCTTGGATGGATTGAAGAAAAGGTTAGAGAAAGCAAAAGGAAAGTGGGCTGAGGAGCTTCCTCATGTTTTATGGGCTTACCGTACCACACCTCAACAATCAACTGGAGAAACACCATTCTCCTTAGCCTATGGCATGGAAGCAGTAATCCCACTAGAAATTGGCCTCCCCAGCATCAGAAGCAAAAATTTTGACCCAGACTTAAATGGAGAAGCCATAGCATTGGAGCTCGATCTTGCAGAAGAAAGAAGAGAAAAAGCACTGGTTCACATCGCCTCATGCCAACAGGAGTTATTCAGAAAATACAACAAGACAGTACATCCAAGGCAATTCAAAGTTGTAGATTGGGTACTGCGCAAAGTAATGGGAAACACCCTGGTACCCGGAGACGACAAGTTAGGGCCCAATTGGGAAGGACCTTACAAAGTGGTTGGGTTAGCAGGAAAAAGGGCATACCACCTGGAAGACAAGGACAGCAACGCCATTCCCAGGCCATAGAACACTGCCAATCTCAAACTATTTTATTTTTAGCTTTTTCTTTAAACATACTTATAGTTTTCCTTTCTCAATAAAATAAGTAGTTTCTTTTCAGCATAGATTGTTTCCTTTTGTAAAAGATTGTTTTAGTAAGCTAGGGGCATTGAAAGCATAGTTGGCCGGAATAACCAACACCCCTCATAAGCCCAGGATAAGGATCTAGGTTGCACGACGTTTGGCAGGAACAACCAAACACTTTACTCTAGGTTGGCAGGAATAACCAACCTAGAGGTTGGCTGGAATAACCAACACCCCTTTTAAGCCCAGAATAAGGATCCAGCCTGCAGGATGTTTGGCATGAACAACCAAACACTTTAGTCTAGGTTGGGAGGAATAACCAACTTAGAGATTGGTTGGAATAACCAACACCCCTCTTAAGCCCAGGATAAGGATCCAGGCTGCAGGACGTTTGGCAGGAATAACCAAACACTCCACTCTAGGTTGGCAGGAATAACCAACTTAGAGGTTGGCTGGAAAAACCAACACTTATTGTTCTTCAGCCGAGATAAGGATCTAGGCTGAAGAGGTTGGCTGGAAAAACCAACACTTATTATTCTTCAGCCGAGACAAGAATCTAGGCTGAAGAGGTTGGCAGGTATGGCCAGTTAGATAGCAAGGTTAAGACCGGGATAAATATCTCGGCCAGAGAATATTATACTTCATTCAGATTACAGAGTAAAGTGCATGCATGGAAGTTAACCGAAATAATAGTTGGAACAAAAGAAGATTTCGTCGAGAGTGCAAATCAAGAGTTACAAAAGGGTGGGATTTCAGCCTGGTTACAGTTTTCTTTCCAAAAGTAAAAAGAAGAAAATACAAAGTCAAGCAAACAGGTCGTCAAGATCAGCATCCAGTTCAACTCGGAGCACGGTTTCAGTTGGTAGCTCGGTTGTCAAGTCTTCCACCGGTGGTTCCACCCGAGCTGACTAGATGGCAGGATCATTGACGACCGGGGCATTGTTAGGCACGATCTCTTCTTCATCATCCTCAGATTCAAGGAATTTTTGTTGAATGACGGCTGCGTACTCCACCATACAGCTCGGTATGAAGTACGATGGAGGGTTCAGGAAAACCTCAGTCTCTGGACCGTGACCGAGCTGTTCCACTGCCGCTTTCCACCCGCATCTGAAAAATAGATCCTTGGCAGCTTCGCACTACAGGATGTAGGTTGCTTCACCTTCTTTGTAGCCACGGTCTTCCGCATCGCCAAACTTCTTCTCAAGTTTAGTTATTTCAGCCTTCTTGTTCTGCTCAACTGTGACAAGCTCACGCAGGTAACGATCCTTCAGCTCAGTTAAAGCTTTTTGTTTGTCCACTTCGGCTAAGTCAATTAGGCCAGTGAGGCAGGCAACCTCAGATTGTAGCTCGGCCATTTTTTGTTTGACCTCGTTTAGCTCGGCCATCTTCTTGTCAGCCTCTGCCACAGCTTGCTTTGTTATTTTGCGTAGCTCTAGCACACGCTTATGAGCAATCTGGCTCTTTTGCATGGCATGCATAAATATGGTAAGCAATTTTGAGTGAGAACCGAGCTAACAGTTACACAAAACAGGAAAACAAAGGAAAGAGAACTCACCAGCACCATTGATTTGATGGCCGAGTGGATAGCTTTTAGCTCGGTAAGGTGGGCATGGTGATCCATATCAAGGGGCAGACACGCGCTCTTAGCCAGGTTGAAGGCCAGCATGTGATCTTTATCTGCCACCATTGAATCTGTTTGTTTGATGGCTCGGTTCAGATATGTTAATCTCGGTGCCCAATCAGAAGAGTTAGCTCAGTCTAGGCTCTCAGGTTATGGGCTCGGTACTTCAGTTGGGGGAAGCACAGTTTCGTCCTCATCGACGAGGCATGGCTCGGTAGTGGAAGACCGAGCGTGCTTGCGAGTCCGAGACGATTCAGGTTGATGGGATAGCAAGGCTACCACGGTCTCCTGGGTTTGACCGGCTTGTGGTACCTTGGGCAGGTTTGTCTCGGTGAGGAGTGCTCTTATGGCTCTCTTCTTGGCCATTTCTTGTTTGGCAGTTAGTGGGATGAGATTGATTTGAGGCAAGGATGAATCTGGCTCTGGCGAAGGTTCAAAGAGGAAATTGGTCACTCTGGTCTTCCTGCGGCTACTATATCGGTAGGTCGGTTCAAAATTCAGTAGCTTGGCCCAGCTTCTGTTTGGATATCAGAGTGCGGCACGAAGTGCGTTTAAGTTGGGGTAGCTATACTAATACTTAAGGAAGTTCAAATCTGCATGAAGGAAAAAAGATAGCAGTTAGTACGGTTCAAGATAAGAAAACCGAAGTAAAGAAGAGCATGGAATTGAGCCGAGGTAATCCTACCAGCTACACCCTTGTTCTAATTTATTCTGTCGCCCGGGATCTGGGCTTGTTAATCCTCAAAGTTCCCAGATACCCAGAAGAAATCATCATCATTCACATCTTTATCCGAGGTATTCTTTATTATCTTTTCACGCCGGCACCTTATTCTTAAATAGTAAACCCAGCCATCTTCAGCCGATCCTATGGAATATTGGTAGAAGAGCTCTGCTAAACCGAGGTTAAGGCCAGCCCGGCAGTTTAGCTCGACGATGCCATTTATTATGCGGTATGAATTTGTGAAAAGTTGGGTAGGGCAAAGGTTGGTTTGTCTGAGGAACTCACAAAGAAGGGGCTGAACAGGGAGTCTCAGTCCAGTTTCTACAATGGAAAGAAGTGTAAAGGGAACAAAGTCAAGGTTTCCCCAAGGTATGATATCTAGGTTGGCTAAGGTAAGGTGGACATCGTCAGGAATGTTAAAGTCCCTTCGAAACTCGGCCATAGCCCCTGGTGAGTTTACCAAAAATCTATATTTACCCATGAGGTTTCAAATTATGTATAAATTAACGGAGTATTAGCTCGGTCGTGAAATGACGCTGAGTAGCTCGGTTGAGCATTCAAGGGAGTGCCTGGCAACCTAAGTCTGCAAAGTGAAAAAAAGAAACGTGTTAAGCACAAATCGTTGGACCGTGCTAAAAAAAAAAAAAAAAAAACAACAACAACAAAGGCAAGATAAATGTTGTCCCAGCTCGGCTACGTGGGCCGTTATTGTCACGACTCAAACCCGCCCCTATAGGTTTAGCATCGTAACCGGCCAGTAATCCTGGGATTACCGACGGCCTCTGAGACAGATTAACATAATATTAGGGACTAGCGGAAGCAAATAATAATATACAACGTCCATTGAGCTGTGCAGACTTATATGAGACAGAAAAATTTTAAACTTGTTATATACATATATACACATTATCTTTAAGTCATCCTATATATACAGATTAGACAAAAAGCGACTTAGCCCCATTTACAAAAATACACAAGACTTGTTTAACCAAACAAGAAAACAGAACTTAAACTTTAAATCACTTAGCGACAATCACTTGACATATCCAGAACCTCCACTGGAGGCACATAGGTTGGCTGACAAAAACAGATTCTAGGCAGATGCCTCTAAGCCTGGTCACGCGCCTGATCACCTACATACATAAATAATACAGTGAGCTAGAGTCCAGTGAATAATAACAAAGTAAAGGGTTTTAATGAATGAGTCCGCACATATTCAAAATTCATAATTCAGTTTCGTATCAAATTCATAATTTGTCCAGATCATATACAGAAATCATAAGTCATGCTTAAACATACGTGATACATCCATTAGCATTAACAGAACATAACAAAACATAACATAACGTATACACGTGAGGTTACGAATAACCAGTTCCAGAAAGGAACCTCCGGATCCGGGTAACAGAACAGAACAGGAATATGCTGAGCCCCCGTGACGGGGGCCTCCGGTACGGGTAAAGAGTGCTAACAAATTAAGTTCCATAAAGGAACCTCCGATACCGAGTAACAGCCAACAGATATCACATGATGCTAAGGATGTCACGAATACATATCAGAAATTGGACAATCATTCATTGTACAGAACATATCATTTCAGAAAACAGATCTCATTTTGTCACACAGAAAATAAGTACAGTTGAACATAACTTTACTAAGTTATTACTCACTGATAGCCGCAGAAGCAAATCAGACGGACTGGACATATCGGATAAATCAGGCAGACAATGGCGCGTGACCTACACAAGCACATAACATATACACATTGAAATACAATATTACTCCCTTGATCAAACTTGATTTTCCTAGTCTTTTCCCGTCTAAACAATCCGAAGTTCTACTATGCTTATTCTTACTCATTCAAATAAACCGGGTTCTTATTTCACATATTCTTTCATTACTAAGCCCTTCTTTTCCAAATAAATTGATCTTTTACTTGGCTTCTTAAAAAATTACCACTAGATCAATGATTCATTCCTTAACTAACTAATCTATGTTGATTGGTAGCTTATTAATCTTTATTGAATCACAAATCATGTCTAGAGTGCTTTGGAAAGAGATGAGGATAAAAATATGAACTAAATGCAACTTTCCAAAATATGCTGAAAATGGGTCTCCGCTCGAGCGCCACTTTGGTCGCTCGAGCGGACTGTAAAATTTGAAAACTTCTGGAAGCTCGATTTCCACGCTCAAGCAAGACTTTCCTCGCTCGAGCGGACAACGTAAATTCTGAAATTCCAAAATTGCAATTGAAATTCAAATTTGGTATTCAAAGCCTCAAAACATGTACTTTTAGTACACAAAAATGGAAAACCATTGTATAATTACATAAATACTTTCAATCAGAAATCATTCATTCAAAATCATGCTCCAATTGTCCAAATTTAGTTTTAACTCATTTTCTTTATATCAAACCCACAATATTAAAATATGAATTAGACTTTCCAATTCTTGAAATTACATTACATGCATGGGTTAAAATTTAATTATAAAATCAAAACTTTAGGATTAATTCCAAATTTCCATTAACTTGACTTTCTTAAAACAATTCCTTCATCTCTTCAAAAAGAACTTGAATGGCTCAATTCCCTTAAAACCCATGTACTACAAGAAAATACTACAAAATCAAATCAAAACAATTAAGTTTCCAAATTAATTTCCACAATTATGAGTCTACTTAATTTCTTACTTAAAACCTTATTTCTTACAAAATCCATGAGACTAATTCCATAACTTCCTTAATTCAATGATGCATGGAGGATTATCTAAAACATGAAATTAAAGTTATAAAACTCTTAGAAAAATATTTGCATGTGTGAAATTAGGGTCAAAATTCAAACCAATTACATCCAAAATTCCTTTAATTCAATGTTAAGTTCAAAATGTTCATGAATTCATAATTTCCCAAAACTTGCTCTCCTTGTACCCAAACATGAAATTAATTCTCCAACTTTCTCAAAGATTCATTGATGCATGTAAAGATGAAGTCCAAATTCATGAGGAATAACACAAATTAAACTTACTTGATAAATTTTTCCCAAACCCATTTCCTTAATCTCAAGCTTAACTCAATTTATTTTAACCTCAATTTAATTCATAGTCATAGATGTTCCAAAATATGTTTAATTTGAGTCAAACTCTTTAAACTCTTTTAAAGAAATATTTGCATATATGAAATTAGGATCAAAATTACTGATTTTATATTTTTCCCAAACAAATCATAATTTAATTCTTGAATTACTCCAACTTAGATTTTTATTAATTTCCTTCATATCGAACCCAAATTTAAACTTATCAATTTTTTACACATGAATTAAATCTAAAACCTTGAAATTCCAACATGCATGCAAGGATGAGTTTCAATTTGTGAAGAATAATAGAAATCAAACTCGAACTAATTAATTTCCAAAATGTATTCCCATTATCTTAAAACATAATTCAAAATTTCTTCATCTTCTTGCTAATTCCTATTAATTACAAGATTTTGAGTCCAAACTCACCTTCAATTTCAAGGGTAATATAAATATTCTACAAGAAATCAAGCATAATTTCATACCTAAAACTTATTTCCAGCATGTTTGGTAAATTTTCCTTTCTTCCTTCAAAATTTCGACTCCTTGTTGAATTTCCAGCACCTCCCCCTCTCTCTCTCTCTCTCTCTCACGGTTTCTCTCTTCCTTTTTTTTTTTTTCTTCTAACTCTCTGTTTTCCTACAAGAACTCATATATTAATGCATTTATATATATCATTTGTTGCCTTCCTCTTTACACGTGCACACACACTTGTAAATCATAACCAGATTTCTTAGTACACCTGCCTAAATTCTTAGTGCACCCACACCCAAAATTCGAGTTCGATTAATGATTGAGGCCTCAAATTTTTTGGCTCAAATTTGGCTCGAATTTTCTTTTTTTTTTTTTCTGGGTTGATGCTTTGCTTGTTATTAATATTATTATTTTTATTTATTTTTTTCTGCAATGTATTAGCCCAGGAAAAAAAAAATACATTCGAGGCAATTTCGAGCCTCATTTTCGAGGCCTCAATCACAGCCGTTCTAGTTCGTTCCACAAGGCAATTTATGCTTAGGATTAATTTTAGTTAAGCAATACTTGGTCTTAATAAATCTTGGTTAACACGCAAATAATTAATCATAACAAATCACAATTCCCATAATTTAATTAGTCTAATTTGACTTCCATTAAGGCCCAATTAATTTTATTTAATTTTATTAATCTGAATCAGATTATTTTTTAATCAAACTCCTAAAAGGTTCAAATTATTAAATTAAACTTATTTTCATCCTCAATTTTGATTTCCCAAATCATTTAGGCCTTCAATTTTTGATCAGACACCAAATCTTCGTCAATCAATTACATATTCAAATTGGACCTTCCATAAATGAATTTAATTCATAATAGTCACAATTCTCAACTCTCATAATTTAGTTAACTTAATTTTCTCCAATTCGGATCTAATTAATCGAATCTCAATTTTACTTCCTTATGCCATTTGGACCCTTAATTTCTAATTCCAAAATAAATCCTTAACAGAATCATATACGAGTCAGATCCCACAATTCTCATAAATCCCAACTTAAATTATAATACTCGGCAATTATATTCCAAATCCTCTTAATTAATCAAGTACTAATCAGTATACGTGATGGGGTCGTTACAGTTATCCCATCTTAGTTCGGTTTGAGCAAGGGCCTTTAGCCCGGTTGAGCCTTTGGGGCAGCATTCTTAGTTCTGTTGAACTAAGGGAGCTGGTTTAGCCCCAAGTTTTAGCTCAGTCGGTGGGTGAGGCTTTCTAGCGTGGTATTGCGCAAACCTAGTACGGTTCGATAGCTCGGTTAAAAGAAACAAAAGGTCCCTAACCTATGGAAACCGCAAATATGGCGTGAAATTTTGGTGCGGTTGTTAGGTGTGGCTAGGCTTGCATCTAATACAAACAGTATCCTAGTTCGGTTGATGTGTGATTTTGGATCAAAAAGAATATTTTTTAGATTATTCGTAAAATCAAGTGGTTCTATTGTGTGGTTTTTCCCAGAAATATGGAAGCAAAAATGGAATGTGCTTTGAAAAACATACAAATAAAACATGCTTTGTGTTGCAAAAGAGGTGCGAAATCAACAAAAAGAAAGAAGATTTGAATCATTTACCAGTTCAAGGTGAAGGCACTGAAAATAGAGGTAGTAGCACCAACAAACACGAGCTCTGCAAATACAAGGTTAGGGAGAGATAGAGGCTCAGAGAGAGAGAGAAAAAAAGAAATGAATAGTGAAGTGTATGATTCAAAACGAAGGATTTGTTTTGTGTAAAGGGAAGCAAATGGCGGGACTGTTCAAATTTTGCGAAATACGAAGACGGCGTGACAGCTACGCCAGGCGAATGACAGCTCGCCACGTGTCCTCGGAATGGGAAGCGATTCAGTTTTAGTACGACTAAAGAGGCGTTTTGTAACCGTACCAATCGGTAGCCCAGCGACATACTAGCTCGGTTAAAAGGCTAAAGTTTTTTAGCTCGGCTGGAAAAAGATAATCCCTATCATGCTGCGCAGATGGAATTAAGGAGCAATTGAGAGGTTAATTTATATGTAAATTGGGCCGAGCTAGGTAATGGGCCGTTCTGTGGGCCACAGTAAAAAGGGCTGAGTAAAAGAGCTTTGTAGTTAGCCCGGTCCAGAAAGAGCTTTGTAGTTAGCCCGGTCCAAAAGAGCCTTGTTGTTAGCTCGATCCAAGAGAGCCTTGTATTTAGCTCGGTCACCGCTGTTAGAGTGATGGCCGTCATCTCGGCCATACTCTTCTGAGCCGAAGTATTTTGAGCTTTTCTCAAGACCTTGCAACGGTGTAGCTCGGTCCAATCTTGTTATGGTTAGCACGGTCTCAGCTGGAGAAGACGATGTGCACGCAGTGAAGGGGAGAACCGAGCTAGGTAAAGCTCGGTCATTTCAGCCAGTATAGCATGGCTGTGGTAGCTCTGTCGTTTTGTCATACCACCGAGGTAAAAGCATCTCACTTGGTTTAAGCAGTGAGGAGGGTGTTGAAGGATAAGCATTATCTTTTAGGAGTGTGACTCCTAGGAGGACTCTGCATGGAGGAATAAGAGTCCTACTAGGATTGTGCCACGCGGAACCTATAAAAGCTCATAACATCACCTATGGAGAGGTAACACAACTTTGATTCCCGAATGTCTATTTGTCTATTTTGCTGACTTAGGCATCGGAGAGGTATCTGGCACACACCCGTTGGCTAGCTCACGTTTATGTTTTCAGGGAGTAAAGCGACGACGTTTGGAGGAGCGCAGACTTGGTCAACAGGATTATACGAGAAGAATATTTCTTCCTCGTACAAACTCATATTCTCAAATAGTCTCTAAGTTAGCCAAACGAGGGCAAAATTCCTCATAACGGTCTATTTCAAACAAAATATTGTTAATTTGTACTTTTAGAGCGCATGGTAAGAAAATTTGAAAGGCAATATATATTTTTTAATATACGCACTTTTGAAAAGATTTTACATGTACCCTTAGAACATACATTAATAAAATTATTATAAAAACAAACTTATTGTTAATTTTTTTAAATGTACCCTTAGAACATACATTAATAAAATTATTATAAAAACAAACTTATTGTTAATTTTTTTAAAGATAAACGTAATAAAAATTTAAAAAAATTACAATTAACTGGTGAACATAATTTTTACACAAGCGATATGCATATAATAGGCCAGATTGAACCTCTCTAATGTGACCAAGGACAGGAGACGAACTACCCTCCAATAGTCCGCACCATTTGCAGGGCGAACATAGGATTATTACAAGGCCCATAAAATTAGGCCGTTAAGTTGGGCACCAACTAATGATATGATATTACATGGATAAGTTGGTCCGAAAAGTCTATACTTGCTCTTGATTTAAAGATTTGATAAGAAATTTAAAGATCTAATAAAAAAATTTCAAAGAAAAAAAATATATTAATAAAATATAATTATATTTTACACTTTTCACATACTTTTTTATTTATCTTTATAAATTATTATCAAAATTAATGAACCAAACACAATCTTAGTGATTAATGAGTAAGAGATTCTAGTAGGTTACGCATAGGTACGAACATGGCACAAAGATAATTATTGTCCATTATGTAATTACTTGACTTCATTTCAGGCAGTAAGTTCCCTCCGGTCTCAGATAAGATTGAAGGGTGTTGCTGAGTTCATGGAAGTCCATCACAGGTCTCGTTTCGATAATTAGAACTATTCAATATATAGAACTCATCGAGTATTATATGCCTGTAAAAAATCACGTTAATCGAATATCTATATCTATCTCATCGGATCAATTTTCTATCAATAATTTATTTTTTTACCGTCTATTTTGTTCATACAAAACTGAATTGATCACGTAGTTATCGATATCCGATCAACGTGATTTTTTTATAAATATATAATACTCAATGAGTTGTAAACATTAAACGGTTCGAATTATCGAAATGGAACCCGTAATGAATCTTCACAGATCTAATAATATCCCTCGATCCAATCTGAAATTGGAGAGAAGGCAAGCCCTTCATTTTAATAGGATAGGACCAGTCCATTCATTGGCCATGTAATTAGCTCACATTCTGTAGTGGTTATATCTATCTATATACTATCATTATAATACAAGAGGGAGTTATGAGTTGCTACAGTATAGATGGCTCTATTTTCTCTTTGGCCGTTTCTGCCCCTGTTGCTTGCTCACTTGAACACTCCCATCTGCTTTAACAAGTTGGATTATTTCGTAAACTACTACCCAAAGTGAAAAGGATTTGTTTCGAAAGTAGGTTAATTTTTAAAATTTTTAAATTTTTAGATTTGGATAAATTATATTTACGCCTTCTAAAATTTAGATTTAATATATATCACTCTTAACGTTTGAAAACCCCTTGTTATTATAATTATTTGGATGAAATAAAGATATTGAACTCATATAGCCTCTCTTTTCTTACTTTGTTTTATTTCCTCCATAATTTTTTTTCCTTTTCTTTGCTTTACTTTTTTTTTTTTTTGCAATATAATTTCTTCCGTTTTTCTAAGAGTTATTAACTTTTATATAAGTAGGGGTTTGTGTAATGAGACTATTAATCACAGTATTAGAAATGTAATTTCCAGAACATCATGGGGTGGGATATAATTAGACCAAATCTCAGGGGGTGTCAGTGTAATTTACTCTTTAGTTTTTTAAATATTTTAGTTTGGAATTAAAAATTTCGTTTGAGTTTGATTTTTTTTAACTTTTTTGACTTTTATAAAAAAAAATTAAAAATTTCGTTTGAGTTTGATTTTTTTTAACTTTTTTGACTTTTATAAAAAAAATATTATTATGATTTAATTGTGATATTTTATCTTATTAACTTTTTAATTTATTTTGTCTCTTATGACTATTTTAACCAAAAAAAAAAAAAAAACCAACATACCAAAGGAGAACAATGTTTGTTTTTAGTATATCTATCTATGTATTATATAAGGAAAATGGAGTTTTTAGTGAAGAGTATTGTGAGAGTTTCAATATCTCATACTAATTTTCTTAATTTTAAACAATTAAAAAAATCTCCATTAGCTAGCTAAATTAGTCTATGATTTATTTGATAATCTCACATCGGGATAAGAAGGAAAAAGTGAATTGTTTTACTCATATAAAGTCAATCTTA